GTAGGGAAATGATCATTGGTACTATTCAAATCAAAACCTTCTTTACTCCAAACCAGAATTTGCAGAGGGAAATTCTATGGGACTGTTACACAGGATCTTGGGCCAGCAGGCTACAGTAATCCTGTGAGGTCTTACACTCCTAGAAAGCACGCTGGAAATAGCACAGTATGCTCACAGATCCTTCCCACAGACCTTCTGCGACCCCCTGAGGAAAAGGCACACCTCAAAATCCCCTTCCTGGCAATCAAATCCCCTTCAAATGGCCACAGGGACCCATGCTGACAGCTTGCCACCACCCTGCACATCAGATACGTCAGCCTAGTGAAGAAAATCAGGAGAGTGATGCTAATACCAGTAGTGTGCAGAGGTCACGCTCTTCTCCGTAAGTATTAAGTCAAAGGGAGGAAGCACAGAGAAAAGAAGAGGAAAGGGAAGAGGTGATAAGAAGTGGGAGGTTTTAAATAATTGCTCCTGGGCTGCAATCCCCTCACCCCTGCTCCCTCTGTCCTCCCTGTGCCCTGCACACGGGGTGTGAACAGCTGCACACGCACCCTCTGCCAAGGCAGATATAAGTGCATCAAAAAGGGCACTCTGACTTTTACAAAATGCATCTGCCAGAAACTCTCTCAAGTGCAACATGTGCCAAGCCCTGCCCAGCTACAGGCCGGCTCTGCCTGCTAATCTGCCAGGCTGAAGTGCCCCCTCATTCCTCATGACCACAGCCAAGCTTGCAGACGCCCTTCAGCTGGAATTGCTGCACACAGGCTGTGAATTTCATTCCCCTTGTTCAGCCTTCCACTCACCCTCTTGCACTGGCCAAAGAAATTCAACCTGCAGCCCATGCCGAGGAGTTGGGAGACATCCTGACCATGTATCACAAGAGAAGGTGGGGTGGCTGCAAGGCTCCAATGCTGCATTTGGAATTTAGTTAATTATTCTGTCGATGAGCTGTAGTTAGCAGTTATGCCTCCAAGGACTAGAGAACACAGGGCTATGGAATAATTTCCTACTGTCTTTTCCCCTGAGCAATAAGGTCCTGCAGAATCCAGGGACACAGCCAAATTTGTACATGGATCCTGCAAGCCTGGGAACAGTTATGCATATTTTAGCTGGTGAAGCTGTTACCTGGAGCTCAGAGTTCCACAGATTAGCTACGAAAAATGGGGTCATTTGAATGGACTTGATTTTCTTGTCTCACATTTTAGTGATCAGTCAGAGATCCTAGGCTGCAGGGAATGAGAGCAAAGAAAATGTTCTCACCCTTAGGACTGGTTCCTCCAGGCTCACAGAACAAGTTCACAAAGGGGGAGAAGCCTGTAAAATCCTTCCTGTGGCATACGCACCCTTCTTCGCCAACCTACTTTGCATGAGACCAAATTAATTTAAATACACTTGTCCTTGCAAAACCAACAGAAATGGTATCGAGCTTAAGGCAGCGCACACTGGTACTCCTGACCTCTGCCCAACTCTGCACAGACCATTCACCACTTGCCCAGATGACCTCCCTCTTGCTGGACCTTCTCCAGTACAGGTGCAGTGCAACTGGAAACTCTTCACAGAAAAGTTTTCCAGTCTCCCTCCCTGGCTCTTTCCTCACTCCCTGCCCTCCTCCCCTGCAAAGTCCAGTTACCTCCAGCTGCTTGTGAGGATTTCTACTCTGGCTGCAGAAGCACAGCTTGTTCTTAAAGATGAGACTCAGAAGAGCAACATGTGGGATGAGGAATTCAGATCTGTGGAGACTGGAGGACCACAAGATTTCTAGCCAAGAGGAACACTGCTGCAACACTGTCTCCATCACAGCCCTGCAGGGCAGCAGCTATCTTCCCAGGAACTCAGAAAAGCAGTAATCCAGTTTGCCTGCAGTGATGTTTCCCAGAAAAATCAATTTTCCTGTGCTAATCCCTACCCCTCTCTCCAAATGCTAGACACAAAGTAAAATAGAGCAGAGGCCCTGACACAAAGAATTTGCAATCTCATGTACAAACAATAGAGCTGGCTCATTTGTCTTCCTAGAGGGAAATAAATAAATGAATAAAAGCCCCCCGAGACCAAATGCGTATTTTGCTGATATTCCACATTGGCAAGGCAGGGTACAACCCTTGCACACATTTCCCAATGCAAAATGAGCTACCTGGTGTAACTAGAGCTCTAAGAAAAGTGCCTGCTGGAACAGCTCTGCTGGCCAGGGATTTCACCTCCTCACACCCCTGACTGACAGGTGTCTGGAGCAGAGACCAGCCAGGAAAGAGCATCTTACTGGGATTAAGCGTGCATGCCACAGCTATTAAGGAGTCAGCTGTTACACTGACTGTGAGGGGCAGAGGAGGGGCAGTTTGTCTGCAGTTGGTTCTCCCAACCCTCCCCTGGTCAGGTGCAAGAGGGAGCGGCAAGAGATTACTGGTGCAAAGCTGGCCAAAAACCAATTCTGAAGAGTTAATTAAAAGGAGAGGGAGATCACGAGGCAAACAGGCAGGGCGAGGAAAGAGGGTGAGCAAAGGCAGAGCTGCAAGTGAGGAAGAAGCAATTTGCAGGGGGAGCAGAAAACAGAGTTGACAGGCATAAGGAAAAGGAGGGGACCCAAAGCATAAGCGGGGCCCAGCCAGGAGAGCCCTGAAGGCAAGGAAAAGGTGTCATCGGAGGCAAGCAATGGGTACAGAGGTCCCTGCAGAAGCCTGCTGACCAGCATTGAGGGAGGGTGCAAGCGTGCACAGAATTGAAGAAGAGGTGGCAAAGGTGCAGAAAGGTTTCAGCAGAACTGATGCCGGCAGGGAGGGCAGATGCTGCAGCTCTCCCTTAGAATACAGGAGGGGAAGAAGGGAGGGATGCGAGGGGACTAGAGAGCAAAGCAGGGGGTCGGGGCAACCCAGGCACGCGAGCACAGGGACGGTGGGGCAGCCCCCAGCACTGACCTTGCCATGTAGCCCAAGACGTGGGCCCGGATGACTATCGCTGCTTTCCTCAACTCCTCTTCCCGATCCTTCTCCAGCTTCTGCTCAAGAGCTTCCTTCAGGAAAACCTGACGCCACGGGGAGGAGTTTCAATAAACACAAAGAGAGGAAAGAAGTCAGTCCCCGGGAGAGCCGGGAGATTTCATCCCCGGCTGACCAGCGCAGAGCGCGCTCTGTGTCCGGGCGCCCGCGGCCGCTGCT